CAATATTTATTCTAATTTATTATTAAAATTAACTTTTAATTAATTGTAAAAACTTGAGAACAGATTTTCATGGGATGCGCATTTGTCATTCTTAGGCAGGCACTTATTTTTAAATTAAAAATATACTATATTTATAAAAATATCAGAAGTTACAAGTTTATCTAGGGTTATCAATGACAATATGAAGATGGTTGACTTTATTTTTTTTTTGTAAATTATATATCAGTTTTAAATGACAACAAATTTTTCCCCGTGATATGAATAATATGGAATGAACCTGGTACATTTAACATGTTTGACAATACATTATCATTTATTTACCCATAACACTTTTAAATAAAATAATAAAGAAGTGTTATTATGCAAACCGCGAAGGCTAAAATATATCCCAGAAATTTTATTTTTCATAATTCTTAAATTTCTATTTTTTAAAAAAAATTGAACCTTTATTTTCAATATACAGTTAAGAAATACTCAAAGAGTAAAACTGCATATTTTGGTAAATTTGTTTCAACTATTTTTCATAGATAATATGACCCGTATCTCCCCTATCCTTCAATAATCTTGTTGCTTAAAGTAAGGATTTCAAAAATGTACGAATCATTTTTTTAAGCATATCTTTAATGAGGGTAGTTAAACGAATGGGAACCTTTATAACTATATTTCATTAAAATTATTCAAGCTCTAGTTAAATGAGTATTTTTTAAACATCATTGTCCTGATAAGGTTAACACGGATGAAATGTGAGTATCTAAAAAATAGGAATATTTATTTTAATTACACGCTATATGAAATACATATAAAATTATTCCGATAAATCTAATAATTAAACGTAATTTAGATTATCAAATAAACGATTGTTCATATATATATGGAAATTTTTAAAAGTCAAGCTGAATGAACTGTTTTCTTTTATCTAGCGGGAAAAGATTATTAATATCGGTAATTTCTCAAATTGATATAGGGTGGGAAGGGGGAGGGGGGGGGGGCACTAATTAAAATACTAGCTTATAGGGGGTGGCATATCCAAACTTTTTGGGGAGTTTATTCCCCGCCATCCCACAAATTAAACATCTTTCTAATAGTCTTTTTCAGGTAAATTCTAAAACTTAGGTCAAGATTTAGTCTTTAATTTCCCTTATTAATATTCTTTATAACGGATGCATGTGAACCTAATAATTAAGTTAGCGATATAATTTAAAAGCAATCTGCAGAACAATTTGAGGATTGAATTCTTAAATTTATGGGGCCCTTACTTTGTGCCTAATTATTTTCAACCTTGCCAAATGTCATGATTTAGCCGTGAATATCACGATTTCATACCGAATCTCACACTTCACACTTTTTTCATTCTTTGAACAAATTAAAATAATCACTCTTTTCTCACGTTTTTAAATTTTTTCAAAATATTTTTAAAAACAAACATAAAGTTTTAAATTAAATTTATCTTCAAATATTTAAAAATCATATTCATTGTTTATTGTATTTAATTTAATAAGAAGTATATTTAAGCATTGTCCTTAACGTTAGCACTTTATTAAATAACATAAATTTACAACTACAGGATGTCTTATCTATATATATACACGCTATTTTCATAAAACTTTACATTTTCTATTTTTTTTAAAATTATTAATTCTATAAATTATATATATTGTTGTAATTGTGGTAACATGCAAATTTACTAAATTAAGAAAAACGCCAGACAGGCAAATTACTTTTAAACAAAATAACGAAGCCCAAAGATATTCAAATCTGCAAGAATTAAATCTCGGTAAAATTGAGACTATGCAAATTTTGATTAAAGAAAAAGGATATATAAGGAGAAATTATGATGCGAAAAATAATGATTAAATCATGATTTTATGAACTTAATTTTTAATTTTAATTTTTAATCTTTAATTTTTAATTTATATTAATTTATTTTGATTATGTTTTTATCTTATTATTTAATAAAGATTTAGTATCATTTTAGTTCTAACCTTTCTTTATTTGACGAATATTATAGTATAATCGAGGATATTTGTCTGATTTAGTATCATTTTAGTTCTAACCTTTCTTATTTGACAACGGTTCTAATCATCCAATCCTTCTAAATTCTCAAAATGTTACATATATAACCATATTCCAATCATAAACTATAATATAATAAAAAATTTCATTCTGTAAAAACGAAATTGGAGCTACAAGTTCCCAAATAAATAAATATATTTTAAAATGGTAATTTGAATATTTTGTTTTAAAGAATAAAATTCCTTGGGTTCAGATGCAAGGACTCTTATTTTATCGCCTATTTAAAAATTTTAAGGTTACACAACATATGTCCAAGGAAAGAGATAACAATTGGTAAAAAAAACATAATTAGTTAATTTCGAAAATTTTCTCGGCTATATCAACTAGGTTAGGAAATGAAGAGACGCATGTGAAGTCCCAAATTACGGATTTACCAAAAAATCAAGGTAGAGTATGAATTCTTTAAATATAAAAATTCAACAGAATTTTTACGGGAGCATTTTCAAACATTTTATCACGTAATTAATGATGAAGAAATTGAATATCAAAAATGAATCAAAATGTTTACAAAAAATATTTTAAAATAATATATAGAAATACGCTATATTATAGATAATATAGGGGAAAATATTAGCTCTATGACTTTAGAAAATGCACTCAAAAAATTACCATAAATTATAAATTTCAAATATAGATTCAGATATTCTCTTTGAAGAATATTTGCATTTTTATGCCGATTATGAAGAAAAATTATCCAAAAACAATCACATGAATACGCGGGAAAAAACGGATGGATTTCATTCATATAATAACTCGCTCTCCTTTAGAGAAAATATGCGATTTTATTCCATTTTACAAATGAGTCATCGGAGAGAATATTTAGCCTAATGACTATTTCTTGGCGAAAAGTTCGTAATAGATTACATTTATCTTCATAGGAAGATTAAATTATGATTAAACAAAAATTATAAATATTTGTGCAGAGTTTTGAGCCAATGTACATAGCACTGAAGGAAAATATTTATTGCTTTTATAATCATCCATAAAATATAATAATTAATATTATGCTATTATTAACTTGGGAAAATAATACATCATAATAATTGTTATTAGTAAATAAATTAAAATTATTAAATTTAATATTGTCTTAAAAATCTTGTATTAAATATAACATTGAGTATGCTATATCAATAAACCCGGCCGGAGGCCAGGCAAAAGCGGGCGCCCGCAAATTGGAGAGGAGTAAAATTCCCCATAAATTATTATAAAAGAAAAACTCATGTTTTCGAGTGAAAAATATATGGCAACCCTTGACCCCAAATCAACCATTATCGAAATAATAAAAAAATTGGCACTTGTTAAAATTTAGAATTAAAGTAATTAATTGCCATCTACAAATATTAGACACTTAATTTATGCTTCCATATTTTTCAGCAGGATATTTTAAAAAAACCAACCAGAATTGGGTAAAAATTGGCAGTTTGCCAAAATTCGTGTTGGACGGACAATTGATTTTTATTTTGGTATAAATATATAAAAAATTCATTTGATTGGGCCGGGAAGAACAAATTTTTTCATAATTTTGGGCTGGGCTTGAAAAACTATGAACTACAACAGATACTGCATATCGATTGTTAATGATTTATTCTGGTTATTCTTCCAAGAGTACATTTCAAAGTCCATTATATTTACAATAATGCTAATCCAAATTGAATGGATTGTAATCTACTATTTAAAAAAAATTGGTATTTTGAGAATGAAGTAAATATAATAAATTAACAATAGTCCCTCCCTCCTGCCTATCTTTTTCAAATTTTTATTTAACATAAAAGAATTGTAAATTATTGCAATTAATGATTTATCAATAATTATTAAGAATTTTTACAAGTGGCTAATGATTAAAATGCCATATCTCCTAAATCCGTGCTTGGCCCAACTTAAAAATTTGCACATTTATTAATCCTATTCTATACCATACATTATAAAAATTGAGAAAAATATGTCGATTTGATTTTACGATCACTTCCATTTATATTTCAAAAATTTGACATCAATCTTATATTACTTTAAACCCCTATCATTAGGCTATCTAAATAAATAATGTTAATAGGTTGATTATATCCAAAGATTTTAAAATTAAATAGAATGCATTAGGCTCACACCCAATTTGTTTTAACCTTTAGAGGCCTGTATCTCAGTCGCTGTTTGGAAGAGCCTAAAATTTTATTTTTTTCTTATAGTATATGGAAACTCTAGTAAAAATTTTAGAAAAATCTGTGGGTGTCAGATTGATACTCATGTTGATTTTTCATGGAATTCGTCATATATACCATTTCTTATATCAGTATTAGAAAACTTGCATCTTTTTATTCAGTTCCGAGCAGGTAACCAGGCGATTAGATCCAAAGGCAAATTTTAAGAAATCTCAAACACAAAATATTTATTTCATTTGCTATTTTAATTGTAAGAAATAAATTTAATAGGGCAATAAACTGGGCCTATATTTATTGATACAACTAGTCCAACCTTGCAGGATAATTATTATCGCTAAAAAATTTACATTCTTTTTATTATAATAGACATGAGAAATGATTATAATAAAAATTTATTAAATAATTTATTATATCCAAATAAACCACCAATATATTTAATTTACAAAAAAAATGTAAAAAAACAATAAGATATTATACGTTCTATTATTCTACGTATGATTTGAAATATATTTAAACATGAATAATGTTAAAAATATATTTAAAAAATTTGTGGATATTTTATAAGATCAAAACATATAATATTATAGTATATACAAAAAAACCATTTCTAATACCCATTTTGTTTGGGAGAATTTTTGATAATACTGGGCCATAACTATAAAGAAAACATATATGATATTGAAAACTTTTTTTAAATTTCAAAAATTTATGTTTTTCTTTTCCTATAATATATTATCGAACAAAATTTGTAGTTTATAAATAAAAATATCATAAAAAAAAGATAGGTTATAATTATATATTATCATCCATTTCTAAATATATTATAATAATATTTGTAAATTAGAATATAAACGAAAAGAATAAAAATTTCCTATTTTCATTGGTAATATTATTATTATTATATTATGTATATTGTATAAAAAAAATTACTCCTCTACAAAATATTTTGTAAAACTTCTTTTTTGTATCAACAAATGTAATGGTAATTTTTCGAATTTTTATTTAAATCATCTGTATTTCGGTCATCAAATTATTATTTCCTGTCAAGATTTCCTTTTCGAGATTAAACTCGAAATTTGTGCCAGATTTACATCTAAAAAAATTATATATATATATTTATTATGAAAAGAAAATAATTATATTTTGATCGGTAACAAACCATAAATCTTTACCAAGTCACAATTTTAGAATTATGCATATATAAATTGATAAAAGTTAAATAAACATTTCAACATTAAATACAAATAAAAAATCATATATACTTATAGCAAAAATAATCGTCGTTATCCTTCAATTGCTTTTGTGATAGGCCAACACAAACCATGTGAAACCATTCGTCGCAACCCCCATCACATAGTACCCATGTTATATCGCCTTAGTTAAAAAAATATATATAAACTTTGATTGATGCACTAATTTATTTTATTAAGCAGTAAAATTAAACATTTTATATTTAAAAAAATATATTATTTTCCCGCCCTACTTTAACCAGAAAATGCCATTTAATTCCAGCTAAATATTCTCATATGATTGTTTAAATTACTATTTAAAAGGGGAAATGTTCAATTTGGAAACAGAAATATGATTCAAGGCAATTAATTAAATTTTTAATTTAAAAAGCCATTATGTTTATTATATTTGATCACAAACTTCCAACTGGTTCAAGACACGTTGGTAGGGAACATTTATTATTTTCATCTCCATCTTCTGTCCGGCCCCGTTTGGTTTTGCCATTTTTAAATCTTTCGCTGCCTAAATGGGTCAAAAATTTGAGAGGTTTCCGCCTGATCCTTATTTTCATCTTTTTACCATTGGCGGTGTTCCCATTATTAAAATTAGGACCTTTCTTTAAGGATGCTAGTTTGGTTTTTAAATTGCTTTTACCATTGGTGGCGCTACTGAGTTTACGCTTTTGTAACTTTTGAAGTTTCGAAAAATGCTGATCGTTCTTTTGATGACCATTTAATGGCGGGAGTGAGGATTCGCGTTTAGAAGAATTAGATAACAATTCTAAATAAATAAGATTTAAATTATATATGGGTTAAAAAAAAAATCATCTCTCAATAAAATGATATTTTCTTGTTATAAAAGCCGTCTCTGACATGTATTTCAATTTCCGTTTAAAACCTTCAAATGATAAAAAATTTCACATATTCTTAAACATTTATAGATTCTCTAGTCGGAATAAACCACCGCCAAAGTTTTTAAGTAAAGATCCAATTTTATATAGATATTTAGAAAAAAGTTAAGTAGCTGATTCAATTTAATGCAGTTATTAGTTTTTTTTAACCCAATTATGGCTACAATTAATAGGATTTTATGTTATAAATAATATTATTCCAAGAGTAAAAATTATTGGCTTATGTAAATCTCAGAAGTAAAATCTTTTTTAAAAGCTTATATACAAAAAATATTGAAGGGCATTTAAACGCAGCATAAAAAAATAAAGGCATAATTATATTTATTTATACTTTTTTTCTTGCCCCTTTTGTCGTTGCTTGCACCTAAATTATGTTGGATTCCTAATTCCATTAGTGTATTAGGGAACGCCACGTCGTTATGGTCGTCAACATCGTTATCATTTAAAGCTTCCTCTTTGATGGAATCGTTAAGACTGGTCGATTTCGCGTGGGATGAGTTTGACGAATTTTCTTCCGTTCTAATCATCTTTATTTAAATATATAAAAGAAATCATAAATAAGTGCCTAGGGATGGGAGAGCAGAGATTATTTATTTTAAAAAAAAAAATGTAATCACTCATAAGTCTGTAGCTATCTGACTAAATAAGACGAAATTTGTGCAAAATAATTTTCGGGCCGAGTTGGTCCAGAATTTTTTAAAGTCTTTAAAAATTTATTATTTTGTTTTCATAATAAAAAAAAATATGGACCAGGGCTAGGCTGTCTGTTTAAAATATTTTTCGGGTTGACAAGGGCTTAAAAAACGAACCTGGCTGGGCTGAAAACCCTAAAATTCGTCGTAGGCTGCTTTTGACTGTGTTGATTTCTACTATCTATATACAAACCAGAAATCTGCAGGAAATATAGTAAGCCAGCCTTAAAACTGGCCAAAAAATGGCATAATTAATTTTAAAAAGCTGATTAAAGTTTAAAAATCTTAATTCAAACTAAGATGATTAATGGAGCGTATAATATTCATTTAACTGCATATAATTTTCAATTATCCTTTTGAAACAATTTGTAAAATTATTTAAATTTTTTTTAAGAAAAACTGTTAGCTTAAAATAAAATTCCATTTAGGCCCAGTTGTACTTTTGCTTATAAGCATATTATATAATGTATTAAATCAAACAGAAATTGAATATTGTGAAAAACCTTATATTTTGTGGACAACGCTTTAGCTTTTATATTGGTGTTAGAGCTAGGAATGGGAGATTTAAATTTGGCGCTAATATTGTGCTTTTGCTTTCGTTTGTTTTGATGGCTTAAGTTAGAATTGCACAGGTATGTATAGACCTAAAAAAAAATTGTTTGATGCATTAATATATTGCAACTAACCAATTGGAATAAAATTAAGATTTGGGGTCAGTTCCTATGTTGTAGTGGCAAAAGTGGTAAAGACATAAAGTTAAAACAAAATTATTTTCGGTCCCATATAAAAAAATAACCTGAATTTTTTGGCATTAAAATCAGAATGAACGCAAGATTCGATTTAAATTTGTTATATAAAGTTTTTGCTAATATAACAAAAAAATATATAAAGATACTATACTAACCGAAGCTACATCACCGATGTCCTTTTCACCTTTCGTCTCATTCCGTTCAAAGAAGGATAGAATATCGTTAATGGGCTCGCCGAATTTGGCTTCCTTGTAAATTTCCCACAAATATTGAGTCTCGTGAAGAGTCAATTCTATCAAATCTCCTTCCATCATAAGATTTTCGAGCTCAGTCATGGAATCCCTATTTAAACCATTGTAGCCGAAGAAAACCTTAGCCAGGGGTGCGGGTGGTTGTTTAGGGGCTATTGCAAAATATTAAAATTATTATGAGTGATTAAAAACCCATGGGATACACTTATTAAAATGGATCCCTCTAGGGAAATAAAGGACCCTGGAATATTTTCCTTTTAAAAATTAAAAATACGCCAGTTGATAGCTTGGGGAAATTGTATATGTAATATTCGAAAAATGATAATGTTATATTCACTATAAAATCTTAACAAGCTTAATTTCTTGTTTTTTTAAATTAAATTTGAACCTTCTGGCACAACTTTAGTCTGGGTAAATTTGAGGGTTTGAAGATTTAAGTTAGCCTCTGTATTCAAAGTATCGGAAACTGATTGATGGTTTTGATTGACATTCGTATTTGTAAGGCTATTCGGAACTATGCTAACGTTATTAACAGTTGAGAAGGAATTCTCAATTTTATTAGCCACGAGGTTACTAAACTTTTTAATACTAAGAGTGGCAAGAGATGGCGCGTTGGAATTGTTCATGCCAGAGGTGCCGGTCGTGGTGGCATTTGGTTGAGATATTTTGCTAGTATTGCTATTACTGTTAATATTAAGATTGCCACTATAGGCGCTATTGTTAATGTTTATAACTGTACCACCCGTGTTGGAACCCCGAAAGTTTTGAAGATTGATGGGTATGCCACGAAACGAAGATGGTTTGGTGTTAGGGTTGATTTGCAGTTGTGATTGATGAGGTTGCACAAATGAAAATTTTTGTTGGGGCCTGGTCGTCATTTGCAAAGAGTTGGAGGCATTGGGCGATATAGAATTGGGAGGTAAGAAAGAGTTGAATGATGACCTAGGAGCATTTGCGGGACGAGGGTGATGTGAAGATAACTTGGTAGCAGTTCGTTTTTCTTTGCAGGTCAAAAGGAATGAAGCTAATTCTTCGTTTGCAAGAAACTAAGGGAATAATATTTAGTTTTAAAAAAATTTAAATGGCTTTGAAGATTGTATTTAGGTTTTAAAAAAACATAAAATGCGAGTTAAATATGGATCTTAGTCTTTTTGTATGGTAATTTTACTTATTTTAAAATATCTTTTTAAGATTTAATTTTTTACTCTTAAAATTTTCAAAAAAACCCCAAAAAGTTATTGTACAATAATTTTACAATTATTCATATTTTTTAAGCCCAGGCTCATTTACTATTGACATATGGAGAGAAAAACATTAATTGTACCCCCCTAGATTTAATTATAATTTATTATTTTTTATTAAATTGTCACCTTCTGAACTTTCTCTTGCCACTTGACAGCCCGTTCTGTAAGGCATTGAAGAGCCGCACCCTCGAGGGTTTTAATCGGTAGCCGCTGCAATGAGAGGAGCAAGGAGAACGCCGTCTCTAACTTAGGTCTTCTAGATCTTATGCACGCTAGACAAATGTACTTAGAATCTAAATTTGGGTACGATTGATTGCTGATACCGATTGTCGAATCGAAATTGGGATCCTTTATTTCATTAACGTCCTCGTCAACTTGAGATTCGATTAGTATGCTCGGGAACGATGACCTATAGTGGAGCGTTCTTTTGCTAAAAATATTGCTAAAATCGTTTGGTTTATTTTTTAGGGCGAGAGTCGTCAGAGTTTGAATAAATTTGGGAGAGAGAACGCAGTTATCTGACGATGGCATAAGTGATTATAAAAATTATTATATATATTGGTAAGTGATCATATTTATATTTTAATAATGATGTTAACCTATACAATATATTGCATGTTACTTCATAAATTATCAATCCAGCCCTATAAAGGATCCTTTTAAAATCTTTTTTACACAAAAGTGAAGCTTTAAAAGGTAAAATGCTATATGCATAATTTAAAAAATGGTAGCTCACAATGAAACCATTCTCGACAGAGCTGACAACACAGCATGGGACGTTTAAACAATCCATTACATATGCAAAATTTCTCGTTCCCATTTTCTTCTTCGTCTTTATCAACGTCATCTTTATTATCATTATTGATATCTATTCCTAATTTTTGGGTTATTTGGTCGTCGACAGTAAACATTTGGTATTTTTCGCTATTTTTAGCGCGGGTTTCTTGAAGGGCATCTGTTTCCTTGCATTGGTAGGTATGATAAGTCCCTATCTAAAATGGGGTTGAATATAAGTTAAATAAGTGAAAACATTATGACAAATTATGATAGTATTTGTTTTCTATAAAATTATTTAAAAGTTATACTAAATTTTTGATGATTTCTTGTGTTGATAGCAAACTCTGTTGAGATGATTCAGATTCCATAATATCAAACACTCTTTCTCCAGAGGCAACGTTAGCTATCAATTTTATTTTAGATAAAAATTTGGTTATTTAAAATTGTATACATAATTATATGTATTCTTTTCAATATTAAAAAAATCATAGTTGCTATTGTATAATAAATTTATTTAGAGAACCCATTCTTTTATAAATAAAAATTATTTTATTTTCAGAAAAACAATATTACTTATATTATTATTTGGTGGTGTTTGTTGATTTGGTGATTTGCCTTTTCTCTTCCTGGATTTTATATCAGATGATTTAGTATTAGTGGACCCATTATTAAATATTTGCGGACATATTACCTTAAAAAATAATGATTTCATTGATAAATACAATACTATTATTGATATTTAATATAAAATGTAAGTGTCAACCATTAGAGGCCAGCAAGGACTGTTCAAAGCCCGAACTTTCAGATGAAGACTTTTTCTCGGAATCGGGTCGGGCGGTAAAGATGTCTGACCCGAAACCCGACAAATAAATATTTAAAATAAAATATCTTCAATAATCATTTTTTTCATAAAAATGGCCATCAGAATAACAGGTCATTTTTCATCTAACATACTACAATTATTAATTTACATAATGTCCATTTACCAAATTAATTATAATTATTTCCTCTGATTCCTCTGATTATAGTTATCATCTTTTTTCAACATCAATTAATCAAATTATTTTTATATAATCACAATAATTTTTATATAATCACAATAATTTTTAAAGTGCAAAAAAATCGATTGGAATAAAGCCAATTATTATAATTTTAATTTAGTTTTAAAAATTAATGGACAATTCAAATATAATATTTTACTTCTTCGAAAGTAAAGGTAGAATTCTTTTTCAAGAAACATTTTACGGCTCTTTCTCGCCAAGTTTGGGTGGAATTAGTCAAACTTTCGTATTGTACCATCTCGTTAAATGCTAGGGGGTAACTTTTGCCGACGTCCAACAAGCTGGAAAGGTGTGATATGGTAGTGATTTTTTCTCCTCGCTTTTTTTTAAATATGAAATTTAAAATAAATGTTTAAAATATTTTTTCTAAATTCCCCAATTTATATTTCCAAATTTATTGGACGCTTGCTTATCATAAGATAGAATTCTAAAACTCTAAATAATTCCTTCGATAAGCTATATATTTTTTTTACTCTTTCTCCCCGTCAAGTTTTTTTTGAATCAATTTAAAGTAATTGTTCTATGTAGTGAGTATAATTTTTCCTATGGATCAGTTTTATTAAAAATAAACCAATCCAATCTCTTCTTAGCCAATATCAGCGCCAATCTGCTGCTGATATATTGATGAGAATATATCCTTTATCTTACTAAATCTGAATCAAAAGTGGAGCTAGAACACTATACAAGCATGTTATAACACTTGTTTAAGTATCTTATTGATAGGTTACAGGCGCTTAACCAATGGGGGGGAGGGAGAAATTCTTCCCCCCCCATCGCAAATTTGACTGTTTTCATAAATATCATTTTAAGCTAATAAAAATTTTACCCTCCCCCCCCCTCCCCCCCCCCAATCAAAATTTTATAAATATTTGAATATCAATTTTCTAACATAAAACTTATTTTTTTATAAATAAATTTTATTAAAATTTCCTTTCCGTGTGAGCACATTAACATTATTCAAAAATATTAATAAAATAAGAAAAATTTTAAGTCAAAGAGATTGAAATCAAATGGTAATTTATTTTATTATTATATATAATTATTTTATTAAATTCAAAATTATTAGTAAGTTAGAATTAATAAGTATTTTTAATATTAATTATTAATAAATATCTATAATTTTTTAAATATTTTATTTTTACTTCGATTTTGTAGAACAGAAGAAATAGAAATACAAAAGTTAAATAAGGCTGAGCATGAAAAAAAGTAATGTGTCATCAGAAGCGATATCATTATTGAATTCAATTGATCACAGAGTTTATCATTGCTGCTAGTTGCATCAATAAATTATTTTCCTATAGTTCACTACTTTGTAGAAATTTACAAAAACCAAATTTAGATTTGGTTCAGGTTATTGATTTGGCGGAAAATATATGAATATTTTCATAATATTTATATAGACGTTGAATCGAAGGCTAAATTTTATGATATAACACTAATTAAACCTCGTCTAGCACCTGGGCAATTATTGAGATGTTAAAAAAATATTGGCTCAACTGAAGAATATTATAAAATATCCACTTTCATCCCATTCTTAGATACTTTTTTATCGCAAATAAAAGTACGGTTTTTAGATAAAAAACAAGTCTTTAGCAATCTTCAAATTTTAATACCCAAAGATCCATCTTCGTTTTCTAATGCCACTATTGGTAAAATTAAATATTTGTCAAAATTTTATTCCTATGATATTGATACTGAAATAAATTTAATCAATGAATTCGGATTGTGGTATAAATATTTACTACGTTTAGCTATTTTACCTGAGCATGCTATTGATGCGCTCAATCGGTGTAAAGAAACCTTGGCTCAAATTCCTAATATTTTGAAGTTGTTTTACATTCTACCATGTTTGCTTATTATAACATGTACGAATGAATAGACTTTCCAACTTAAGAAGGTTGAAAACATATTTATGAAGTACTACTTCCGAATCTCGGATAAATGGGTTAGCTCTGTTAAATATCCACAGAGATTTGGTTCCAAAGACAAACAAAATTCTTGATGAATTAACAACATTCCCACGAAAATTAAAAATCACATTATAATTATAGTATTTAATAAAAAAATTTGTATAATATTGTATTTGATAAGAAGTTTAAAAAAACTTGTTTTTTAAATTATTTTCTAGTCAATATTTTACAGTGTTGTTAAACGCCTTGTTTTTGAGCCGATTTTTAAAAACGGCTAACTCAGTTATTTATCCAGAAAAATATTATGCAAGCGTGGAAATTTTGCACATAGAAGGAGCAAAGGTCTAGACATATAGTATCGAAATTTCGAGACTTAATTAATATTTTAGTATCGAAATTTCGAGGCTTAGTTAATATTTTTCTGGCGAAAATAATGAGTTAGCCGTTTTTAAAAATCGGCTCAAAACGAGCCGTTTAACAACATTAATATTTAATACACACTACTATTAGTATTTTCAATAAAAAAATTATATTATACTTATATATTGTATGTTTAAGCTGAGGCTAGTTTTTAAAGCAAATGTTATAAAAAAAATGACATTAAACTTTATTTCAACTTTACATTTAAAAAACTTTATTAAATAAAATATCCTAACTAAAAATAATAAAAAATAGGCTTGTAATATCCATTAGTACGAATTAGTAAATAATAGTTACAAATAGAAATATAATAGTTACAAATATAAATATAATTATTATTAAATTATGCATAATTAAATGGAATAGCTAAAACATAAGACCCGGCCGAAGGCAGGGGAAAAGCTGGCCGAAAAAATTCCCCCCCCATAAGAAAATCTTGGATACGCCACTAATAGGTTATAATCAAACATTTTAAAAAATATATTGTATTATTAACTTAATTTGGTTAGAAGAAATAAATATATATAATATTAATTATTCAAAATTATTATACAAGAAATAAAAAATTTTAATAAAGAGGGGTAAAATTTGTTTATAAATACCATGATGGATCGAACTTCCTTGACAAAAATGATGGCTTTAGCAATTAATTCTTTGATTTCAAAAACGTTTGGCAAATGTATAGGAACGGGTCCAATTTCGACCATAAAATTCTCAAGTAGATTTAGAGAAGGCCTGGAAGAAAAAATAATTTGATAAAATACTCAGAACAATAACAAGTTAAACAAAAAAAATTAACTTAAAAAATGTTTAAAATAGTATGTTTAATGCAAATATTTTAAGTATCTGTTCTGTATAGATTAAATCGACAATATATTCAGTAAATAAATATTAAGTTTTAATCTTGATATATTAAATCTATCAATCATGCCGATCCCCCATTATTATTCTGATAAAAAGGTTTTAAAAAACGGGATGAGTTGATATTTAAGTGAATACTCCCAATCACAACCAATTAAACCTGAAAATCTCAGTTAAATGTAAAGTAGAGAAAAATATAGGAGCCTAGATTTAAGACTATGGTACTATTTCGGGTCAATATAAGAGTTGGGCCAACTTATATAATCTCTTCGGTTCAGAGAATCAAAAATTGATTTTCCCCGCCATATGGTATTCCACTGATACACTCGGGCAACTTTAGAAATTTTTAAGCATCCATGGGAAAAAAAAAATAATGAATTTAAATTTTAACTGAGTAGCAAGCAATTTGTGAGCTTTTTCCTCCCAGGCTTTGGCAGCCTGGGAAATTTCGTGCATCTCTTTCAGACATTTTTCCAGGGCTGGATTTTGTGGTTTGAGGGAACCTCTCTGCATAAGCTCACCAATATCTTCGATACTAACCTTTTCGGGTTCGGATAATTTGTCTCGAACTTCTATCAACCACAACCCTACATCGTAAGACTTTTTTTTTTAAATTAATATAAATTCACTGGTGCTTGCTAAAACATATATTTGAGTAGAAGGATAATTTGCATCCAGGGATGTGAACCCGGACCCGGACCCTGAACCCTCGTATTTTGGCTGAACCCGAACCATTTTAAGGGTTCAAGGGTTCAGGGTAAAAATTTTAACAAATAAATTTTTTTTTTTAAATAATGTAAAAATATTATTTTTAAAAAATAATATAAAATTTTTATAATTTTATTAATTTTTTTCGTGGAATCATTTATTTAATATTCGCGCTTTTCTTTTGATTTTCTTCCTGGACTTCATTTCATTTTATTTAGAGATTGATACCATAAATTATTTTCTAGTGTAAGTAATAATATTTTATTATGTAAATTTAATAATATGCTTTTTGCCTAAAAAAAGCATTCATATTCAAATGTCTGAGGAGAATTTGATGAATGCTTTAGTTGAGCTTGTTACAATAAATGGAAGACCTTTCAATATTATTGAGGATTCTGGTTTAAAAAAAATTATTGATCTTATTAGTAAGGCAATTGGAACAACAATTAAACGTTTTAAAATTAAGGACTTAGTGGTTGATGAATCGAAAAAAATACAAGCAAAAATTATACAAGAAACAAAAAACAAATTAATTTCATTAAAAATAGATTCCGCCCAAAGATTAGGGAGAAATATTTTAGGAATAAATATACAATATATTAAAGGAAATAATATAATCTTAAGAAATTTAGCAATGAAGGAGATTAAAGAAAGTTCAACTTCTGAAAATATAAAAAGAATGATAATAGAAACTTTAAATAAATTCCATATTCCTTTAAGAAACGTTTATACCATTACTACGGATAATGGTGCTAATCTAGTCAAATCTATTAAATTATTAAATGAATGTTCATTGGACGAAATGGATGATATAGATATAAATAATGATGATAATAATTTTAGTGAATTTGACATACCGGAGATAATAAAATATTTTTCCACGAAGATATACTGTATCAGATGTGCAGCCCACACACTACAATTAGCTATTAATGATTCCCTCAAAAATAATATCTTTAAAACTATAATTGACAAAGCAAGGGATGTTGCTAAATATTTAAGAACTCCTACAATTGTACGAATATTAAAATCCATGAAAAGGCAAATGGCAATATTAGATTGCACAACCCGTTGGTCCTCTATCTGTGATGCTAGAGCGATTAATAAGTTTAAAAGATTTCTGTGATGATTTTATTATAGGATCATGTGAAATCATTTTGTCAGAGGATGATTGGAATCAAATCAAAGACCTTACTAGGGTGTTGGTTCCTTTGAAAATTACTACATTACGATTGCAGTCAGAACAGTTGTGTTTATCCGATTTTTATGGCATATGGGTGAGATGTCGATTAGAATTAGAAAAATTTACAAGTTCCTTTTCATACGAAATATTAGAAAACATGAAAATACGAGAGCAACAATATTTGAAAAATAGTGTAGTGTATGCCTCAATATATTTAGATCCTCGATATCAAGTTCTATTAAGTATTGAGCAAAAGCAAATGGCAATAGACCATCTCGACGATTTATGGCATAACCATAACTCTATTATTAACAATATATTGGAGGCTTCAACATCTAATGGTTGTAGCGATAGTAATGATGATAGTAATATTGACGATCTCGAAATTTTATTATTAGATAGAGAAAAAAAAATAAAATTATCATCAGGATCAGATAGAAAGGTGAAAAAAATATCGATTGTATCTTTAATTGAAAAATTCTCAGAAGTTAAGAGAATTAATAGGGATAAAAATATTTTAACATTCTGGGAGGAAAATTCTCTAATATATCCTGAATTGTATACCTTGTCTAGATTTCGTCATGGCTGTGCCGGCGACACAGGTACAATAATTTATATATTATAAAGATAAATATCTATTTTAGGTCAGCGTAGAACGTGGATTTTCTTCTTTGAAATACATATTGTCTAATTTACGTGGAATCTCAAGGATGATATTTTAGAAGATATTATGATCGTTCGATTGAATAAAATATTTAAAATTTAAATTATTTCATTTTGAATTATAAATGTGTATATATATTGAAGTATAATAAAAATGAATGAAAAAAAAGTCTTATTTTGAGTCATTATTTTTATGTTCCCTGGACCTGGACCCGAACCCTGAACCCGGGTCCTTTAAAAATTTATTACAGGACCCGAACCCAGACCCGGACCCTTTTTTTTGTTGAAGGGTTCACATCCCTGTTTGCATCGAAATTATTTGGTGTTTTTAATCATAATAGTTTTGGAATTTATATGATGAAGAATAAGAAGAAGAAAAAGATTTAAAAGGGTCAACCACTCCATGACAACTCCATCTACTAAAATTCTATTCCAGTATATATTTTTTAAAATATAAAGTGTTAATTAATTTTATTCATTTATTATTATAAATATTGTGTGTGAAGTATGTGTAACAAAATTTTAAAGCTCATAAAATTTAGGCAAATAATTAAATATAATGTTGACTTGAAAAAGCAACCTTTGATGTGTGTTTTTAAAATTTTAAGTGCATGCATTTAGTTAGGTGAAAATTAAATTGTACTTAATAAATAAAATATTCAAAATAAAATATATTATTTACATCTTTCAATCGTTGTTTTTCGCTTATTTGAATGAGATTAAATAATTTAGAATCAATCAGATCTTTTAACTTCCGAACGTCGGGTATTTTGTCCGAGAGGGCATCATTGATCTTGGCTTTAAACTCTAAAGCACTTAATAACAACTCCTAGAAATAAGATAAAATGTTTTTAAAATTTTAAAAAAAGTCATTTTTACACTGTAGCGCGCGTTAGATTTTATCTTTTTAGGTGGACAAAAAGGCATTCTTAAAAAAACATTGGCCAAATAAAAAAAATTACTTTAGGTGGGATCTTATGTACATTAAGTACACTGCCTCTGCATACCAAAACTATATTTTAATATAAATTAATTTTGATTAAAAATAAAAACGGGAATTTTTTTTATTTACACTCATATTTGTTTCTTCTTTAATCGTACAAGCAAGAGATTTAATGTCGTCTACCAACTTTTGCAATTCTTCAACACTTATGCCTGTTTCGTGTGAAGGGTTATTTTTCTTAGGTTTCTAAAAAAATATCGATTTTCAATAATTTTATAAGAATTTGTAATAGATAAAACTTAATATTTGTAGCTTTGAAAAAAAAAAATTCTATCATGAGTTACATTATCAAAATTCTATTTATTGATAAGTAAATTAAAAACAGCATTCTCAGGGCTCAAACAATTAGCTAAAAATAATTTTGACCATATAATATTTTTCAATTTACCATAACAAAAATGAATATATATTTACCAAAGCATTCTGTTTCAGTATCTCCTTACATCGATCAGCAAATTTTTCGGCCTTATCTATTTCTCCAAGCAGGATATTGGTCAAATCGTTGGGAGGAAATTTCTTGTAAACGCTCTCCTTGTACAACCCCTTTAAATTTTCCAGGGTAATCTTGCTATCCTCCTCTACTATCTCTTCAATATCACTATCATGGGTGGTTATCGTGGGTTCGTATTTGCCCCCCTCCAAGGATTTTTTAACTTTGACAGACCAGGTTTGGAAATACTCAACGTGGGCTTTAAGACGGCTCATCATGGAAGGAAGCTCATCTAAGGTGTATCGATATCTAAGTTATAAATTTTATATAATATATTGTAAGATATTATAATTTCATTTATATAAAACTAAAATTATAGACAATCGCATCTTTCAAATATTTTTTTAAATTAAAAAAAATATTTAGGATTCTATGCAAAATTTTGAATAAAGTGTAAAAAATATAATTGAGCCTTATTGGCAATAATTTACTTAAGACAATAATCGGCGGATGTGCAAAGTTTGCAAAGGTTATCCGTGTGGTATAAGCAAACTATTTTAGCCGGCAAGCAATTGCAAGTTAGGGCCGAAAGAAAACAGGTAGTGTTGCAGTAATCGCATTTCCGCTCGTCATCTCCTAGCAGCTCGTAAATTTCACGTTCCGCCTTAGTCACCCCCTTTGTAGATTACAAAAACAAATGTATTTTTATGATAATGTGTGCATGTTTGGTCAGGGAATATTAAAAAATGGCTGCTCTTTAAAAAATGAATTCATTTTTAAAAAATTAACCTATTTTTTTAAAAAATTAACCTATTTTTTTAAAAAAGTATTCATCATTCAACATATATTTTCCAATTTTTTAAGCAAATAGCTTCATACTTTTTCATATAAAAATTTCCTGAGTCTCCTTTCCTCTTCAATCATAAAGGTCATATCCTCGAGAGTAGCAGAAGCTATAGATAGGTCTAAATGTTCTGGACAAGACGCCATTTTACATATCAACTCTTCATGCGAAAACACGCAGTATCGTTTGAGTTCCCTATAATGGCTTACGCATTTTCTACCCAAGGGTAGCTGATTTTTATAGTAAAATAATTTCGGAAAATTAGTAATAATTAAAATATAAATGTTTTTTTATTTATACTTACATAAATAATTTTATAAATCGCCTTGCTTACTTTTTAGAGTAACTAACTAATTAAATTATAAAAGTTTAATCTAAAGTTTTTTTAAAAAAAAAGGTATAAAATAAAATTTAACTAAATATGATTCCACTAAAAAAAATATTATCGCATAAGATTAAAAAATTAATAATGGCAAGAAATTTACCCAGTCAGAAGGGCAAAAATTCACAGCCTCCGCTAAATTGTAGCCTTGATTAAACCCAGCATGGTAGGCTCTGGGAAAGGTGACCATAAATTCGCCAGGATATTGATCGCATCGGCTTACCTTTATAAGTGTCCAATCATCATATATGTATGAGTCATTGTAAGATAGTGATTAAATGGCTCGATTTTAAAAAAGGCTAGCCCAATATTACACAAGCCTGATCATATTTTTCATAGATGGCAGAAAGGTTTGGACATATTAACAATATCTCAAGGCTTCCGTAATATTATTTTGGCTAAAATCCTCATTTAAAATTGGCTAAATCGATTGGTTTATAATGATATTGGTTAAAAGATAATTACACTTTGATAGTTTTTGTTTAAAAAATAGACCGTGATAGAAATCGAACTGTAACAAAAAAAATTCAGCTAATTATAAAATTATTACGGGCACTCCATTAGCCATGAGGATATTGGGGTTCATGAGTGTAACTAACTGGTGCAGCAAATCCTTTTGTGTCTCAAACAATTCCGGCACCTGGGCTTTCATTACGTTTTCCAACATTTCGGCATTGGCTCCAGGGACCCCGTACCATGTTTTAGGTTCACCCCTAGAATTATTTTTTGAATCAAGAAATAAGAATTAGTTATTTATAATCTTGTTTCTGTGAATTGATAATCATGAAATATTTAAATATTATTTCACGATTTTAATAGTGCATAACGTGGTATTCAGCAGACTACTTTATTTTCAGCATAAACCTCGACAATAAACTGATCTAATTAGCAGGATTTATGCAGTAAGTATAAGTTATTTTTATAAAATTGGTTGATTAAATGTTAATTTATGCGAGTAATCATAATTTATCATACCAATGTAAATAATTAATCGAATAGCTCCAATGGTCTTCTGTGTGCCAGCAAAAAGTGGAAAAACACATACCGACATACATCCAAGGTACCTTTAGATAATATCATGAATCAAATTGATATACAATTATAAATAAACATATTAAATATAAAATCAATTTTTTAAAGGTAGATAAATAAATAAAACTGAAAATTTGCAAACTTTCATCCCAGAAATATCCCCCGATATGTATTTTAAAATGGACTTGTTCAACACGGGTAAGTTATTCAAATTCCACGGCGAATTTATGTACTCCTGAAATTAAGATTACAAAAAAAATTTATTACATTTATGAATTATAATATATAATAAAAATAATTTTTTCGGATAGGTTTTTGTATTAAGCCCAATGGCACATATAACTTAACTTGACAGACATTAAAATATTTTGAAGAGTCGTTAAATACAAATCAGCAGGAGGCACGCCATTTTGGACTCCAGAATAAAAAATGGTTTTCATCATTTAAATGGGAAGCCAAAATCGCCTGTTGCCAGTAAATAATGAATTGGTGTTATTGATTAAACCACTGGAGTATGTTGTGGTTTGACTTATTAATTAAACAGCTGAATAATAGCCTGAGCCAAACAGCCTAAAAATTAAAAAAAATGAGAAAAAAATACGAAAATTAACTACTTATTAGCATAAGCAAAGCCTCTTTCTTTCGCTTTATTCTTTGTAAGCAATAATTTAATAAGATGTAACCAAGCCAGAGTTCAAAATCAAAACTATAAAAAAAATGAAATCTTTGTTTTTGAATAAAAGAAAATTTTTTATCAAATTTTACTTAAAAATGTCAAAATCTTTTTTTTTTAAAAAATCTTTTATAATAAATTTTTTGTAATTTTCATGCATAATAAAAAAAAACTTTCAAGATAAAATTAAATAGCGTTTTTTTTCCTCATAACACCGGAAAAAAATAATGAAATTATAGGAAAAAGGACGGTTGTATCTATAAATTATTTGCTTAACAAAAGGTATTACGGATAAATCGCCTATTATTGTAGAGTGGCTACGTCTTCGTAGACCATTTTAAAAAAATGCGCGTAAAAAAATGCGCGAATATTTGTGACATGTCATGCCTGTTTATAATGTTTAAAAATTTTGCGAAAATATTCTTGATTGTAGCGATGGCATAGCATCGGCTTTAAGGAGAAAATAAACAAAATTATGATTTAGTTTCAAATTTAAACACCTTTAAAAAACAACAAGAATCCGATATAAATAAAACTATGAGAGGAGTAAAAATTAAATTAAATTGATAATAAAATGTATTTTTTTTGTCACTTCATCATCGGGAAATTTTTCCTTATGTCCTTCTGTAGGAAAACCACTGCCATGTTCTATGCAATGCAAGTCGGCACCGTAACAAACGGTTATGTCTTCTACAATCGAAGAAACAAGGCGCCAGAATTCTTTTTCGACTACTGTTGTAGGAACCATCTTTTTTTGGTTACAAATACAAATATATATAAAAATTTCGAGTCTCAAAATCTTATAATCCATTATACGACAGTTGGTTAACTATATTGTAGCTCGTGAATCTATTTAGCCTCTCCATGATAAGGTGGGGTTTACCCCTAAACCCCCAAATATTTTTAAATTTGTTAATATAAAGATTTTTTTACAATGTTTCCACAATTGAAAATTTTTAAGAAATATTAAACGGTTTGGGAAACGGAAATTTATATTTAAACTCTCGTGTATTAAAAATATATATTATTGGTTAAGAAATTAAATTTTTTTTGATATAATATAAAATAAAAATTTTTTATGATTTATAGATAAAAAAATGGTAAGCGGGAAATAATTCCCCGGGAAAAAAATCCCCAATAATAATTCTCCGGAATTAATTTTCTCAAAATTATTAAATATATTATTTAAGGATTTTTATTCCCTGGATATATTTATAGGGAATTTTTTCTCCTATTTTATTAATTTTGTCATTTTTAATATCTTAAAAAACGGGAATTTTTTTCCGTGGAATTATTTTCCTAGATTTTTAGAGAGGTTGAGAAAATTTTATCTATATTAACCAATCCAATTTCAAGTAAACTTCGTTGGTGGGGTGGGGTGGGGGGATGAATGTCAATAATAATATTTTGAGTGAAATAATATATTCGTATGCCCAAACATTTAAATCGATTTCACTTAACTCATGTGTTCATTTAAAACATTATACGAATAACATATATTCCCGAAAGTTAGTTCACGAAAATTCGTTACTAATTTTAATTTATTGGGCACTTACCCTTTATAACATTAATACGGAATTCGTATATTAAATTAATAACTAATTAGATGACCTTGTATTAATGGCAAACAGTGAGGGAGAATTGAGGGATAAAGTTAGTAAATGGAAAATGACTATGGAAGCAAAGGGCCTGAAAATGAATGCATCAAAAACAAAGGTGATGATTGGTGGGGAAAATCTAAAGATAGAAGAATCAGGTAAGTGGCCTTGTGGTGTATGTGGGAAAGGAGTTGCTAGAAATTCTATCCAATGCACCAGATGCCAGATGGGTACATAAAAGATGTAGTGGGAAAAAAGGCAGTTTGATGTTAGAAAGAATGACCTTTATTTGTAAAACATGCATGAAAGGGATACATAATAATGATAACCTAAAAAATGGTGGTCTGGATATTGGCAATGGGTTAACCCTAGAAAAAGTGGATAAGTTTTGTTATTTAGGTGATATGCTAAACGCAGATGGTGGTGTAGATTCTGCTGTTGTTGCAAGGATCAGACAAGCTTGGAAGAAGTTCAGAGAGATGTCATCTATTCTTACAAATAAAAAAGTTTCTCTGAAGTTAAAGGGGAAAGTTTACGTAAGCTGCGTGAGGAGTTGTTTAGTTTATGGCGGTGAAACATGGGCAATGAAAGCAATTCACGAAGCCAAATTAGAAAGAACAGAGATGAGGATGGTTAGATGGATGTGTGGGGTATCTCTGAGAGAGAGAAAAACTAGCAAGGAATTGCGAGCAAGATTAGGTATAGAAATGATTGGTATGGTAATGCGACGAAATAGACTAAGATGGTTTGGGCATGTGGAACGTATGACAAGAGATGACTGGGTAAAGAGATGCACAATGATGGAAGTAGGAGGATCAAGACCTAGAGGAAGACCCAAGATGACGTGGACAAATGTGATAGCGGCGGATATGAGAAGCTTGAATCTTACAAGTATTGATGCTCAGGACCGTCAAAAATGGAAAAGAAAAATCAGAGGGAAAACTGGCCTACCCGGGTAAACCTGGAAATCGCCATAAAACGGAGAAGAAGAAGTTGATATAGAACGAGATATTCCTATAATAAATAAATCGTAATATTTAGATATAGATATAATATATAAAAAGATTTGATTACCAAAGAGAAGTAATAATAAATTGAATAAAAGAAGAAAAGGTAAATGATAAAATAAATAAGATGTTAATATAAAGGGAAAAATAGAGAATTTAAAAAAAAAATAACGATCTTCCTTTTTTGAATGGCCATTTTCCTTTTTTGATTGGAACTTTTGTTTTTTCGTTCCTATTTATATTTTTCATCTTTGACCTCCTAAGGCCCATGTATGCTTTTCCTTTTATGTCTTTTTATTTTTCCTTTATTTTATCGGACCTTTTCCCAAATCTTTGGAATTTTCTGTTTTTTAATCGGACTTTTTCCTTTCTGATCATTTTTCCTTTTTTTTGCGTGGAAAACACTCTAATATTGAGTCAAAAGTAATATTTTATCCACTAAATTAAGACCGGATATTTATAAAATTAGTACATCCATTAAATAAATGTATAGAACTCGGTTTCCCGGTCCGATAGATCCTGAATTGTTTAAATTTGGATTCGACCATGTTCAAGCCTTTATTTTAAAGATCGATAAAATTTTTATTTATTGTTTTTTTTGCAATAAAAAACATCCCAAAAAAATTATTTGCCTCCATAGCTGATAATCTGGATCACCCCATCGTAAAGACAAATATGACCTATTTTACAAAAAAAAAATTGGATCAGTTACACAAAAAGTTTTAAATTTTTTTCCCTGATAAGATTCATTACCGAGCTTAAATAATGCGTTTTAAGGTCTTTTGATAAATGCCATTACTAATCTTACCACTAGTGTCATTATTTTTCCCTTTTCTGCTAAGGATTTAATATTTTGTTGACTGAGTATTATAGTACTTGCTTTATGCGCATTTTTCAAATTATGATAATGGAGCAATTTTGCACTGAGAAATTAGATTAACATTAAAAATTCCATTTAACTAAAAAAAAAGAAATATAAATAAGGAATATTCGGCAAACAATTAAAAGATTTTTATGGTAAAAAAGATCGAATGAACAGAGAAATTATAAATCGATATAAAAATAAACAAAATTTGTTACATGAAAAGGCATATTAAAATAAGTTGCTTTGAATTCATCTGCCATTTCCCCAAAGGAATGTAAAGTATATTCTTTGCAGGATTGCTCAAAGCCAAAGGGGGCAACCAAGCTTTTGCATTCCTATTTTTTTTAAAAAAATAAACATTTATAAGAATAAATTTGTAAATATAATATTTTTTTAGGAATGGCTCAAGCTAAGTGTGAACTTGAATTTGAATGTCAACAAAGATTCAATACTTTTTTTAATAAAATATACAATATAAAAAAACGGTTATAAAAAAGAAAGTGGGAGAGCCAGGCCTCAGACAAAAAATTATTAAATTTCCAGTATTTTCAAAATAAACTCACATTGGCTATGCAGAGGGGGCATCTCCAATCCCCTTTAGGAACTTCTTTGAGGGGAGGCATCAAGCAAAACGTGTGAAAATTCAAATCACAATTTTCACATAATAACAGGAACTCTTCATCATCCCCATTTCCGCATGTTTGGCACATCACGCTTTCAATCTGATTTCCCACAAATTAAATATTGTGTTTTTAAAAATTAACACTTAATACTAGATAATCATTTCTAAATTTATGGCATTCAAAATTCAATTGTGACCCATGCCTAACCATTTTTTTAAGATAAAATTTCCAAACCTGAACTAGTAGTGAATCTGGAAGAAATTTTTGTCAGGTCCAGAACACTGATTTTAATAACATTTAGAAAACTAATGGTTCTTATTTCTATAATAATTAAACTTTATCATTATTAAATGTTTGATAAAAAGGAGAATTGAATACATTTATGAAAAAACTAAACTAAAATAGGTGAAAAATTTTACATTTAATAAAGCTGGTTTATTGATTTTGACACTATAATTATTTATTGATTTGGGTAATTTGTTTGTAGAAGATATATCAGCAAATATATTATTATTTGTCAGCGAATTTAGCTCCTTCTTTATCTCGGATGCTTTGAAAGTTTCAATAATTTGTACTTCATCCATGTTTCCACTTTGAATAGCAATTGTGTCATCATCACAACATATCTCATTCTCATCTTTAATTTCTATATAATAATAGTGCTATCAAATGTTGCAATACCTTTATGATAATTTGGAACACCGGGTAACTTTGGCCCAGCACCAAAAAATTGCAACTTCTTTAATTCATTATTGGCAGTAAAATCAACAGATTTATTCTAATGTGTTATGTTTGGATTATATATTATAATCAATATATTATATTAGTTTTTTTACATCCATATTAATATTTCTTTTTGTCCTTCGTGTATATCCCTCTTTAATCTCTGGTTTCAATGATTGCCTGTAGGGTATAGCATGAGGTGTATAATTTTTGTCCTTATCATATTCTTCAAAGTCTTCAATTTCTTCCTTATTCTGTAAATGTAAAAAGGGTTGATTTAAAATAAAGAGTAAGGCATTACGATAATTTAAGATTATCATATGGAATATAATATTTAGTCGAATATTAAAAATATATATAAATAGTGGCATTAAATTATGTTCCATCCATGCTTACCTTAATAATGTCTAGGCTCTCTCCAGATTTAAACAGGTCAAATGGTAACAAAATCTTTTCATAGTGCTGTCTCAGTATACCACCCACGCTTTTGTTGTAAGGTGAATATCCCATGCAAACTGCTACCTTGGTCCATTTTCGGTCCCTAATTACAATATTATAACCGCCTTCGTTTTTAACGGCCTGAAACGATTTTTTTTAATCGAAAAAAAAGGAAATTAATATTTTTTTTTAATTAATGTGTGTTTAAAAATGAGAAATTTAAAAAATATTTTACTTTGTATAAGGAGTACAGATCTAAAGCTTTTCTGTCTACCTGGGGTATTCTCAATTTAAAACCCTGCATAAAAAAAATTTTCGTAAAAATTTGTTTTTTTTTTCTTAAATTATCAAATAATATTTTGCCATTAACGAATTTAGGATCTAATTTTAAAAAAATATATTATTCCTAATTTCAATCGATACAATTTTCATTTCCGTCTTATGGAATTGAGTTCGATTTTTAAAACCGGTTTTTTCCAATACAAAATGGCGCACGAAAATGCATAAATTTGTTTATTTAATTCGGTTATAATCAATGTTTCGTATAAAAATAAAGCACTAGGCTATAATGTGGAACTATATAATTTTGATTATGAATTCTTAATGTTTTTAACAATAGACTTCGTGAATACAAAATCAAAAAACCGGTTTTCTGAATTTGATAATTTATCTTAATTTTTTGTTTGAAATAGCTAAATTAGAATTAATTTAAATACAAAAGGGATATATTCAATCATTTTTGGCAAAATTTTATATTGGTTATTCAATTTTGGTTAATTACCTGTAAATCCCAAAATCTAGCAATTTGATCAAGAAAATTTAATTTTATTCGTGTCGTTGCCTATGTTGTAAATAGATAGTCAAATTTTTTATTAATATCATGTAATATTACTTCTAATTCATTCAATCTTTGCAACCTTGGAGTAAAGCGCACTTTGTCTATATCAACAGCAAAAGGAGGTTGCCAATTCTAAAAACATATGGTAATTTAGATATTATAATAAGGTAAAAATGCATTATAAATCATTTAAAATACTTACCGGGGGTGGCTTAATTTTACAAATCCCAAATTTTTCGCCAATAGGCTTTATTTTTGCTATGTAGAGCAGAGGATCTTTAAATTCTTCTTCATTCGGTTCAAATATTGGACAAGGTCTAGGAGGAATAAATTCATTACAACCTTCTATATTCATGAAGAAAGCCAATCTATCTTTCAAATATCCTTTCTTAGAAAATGTAATTTGTTTGATGTAATATTAAAAGGAGCAGTCACGTGATCATAATTTTTATTTATTTATTTATTATTTCCTAACAACGAAAATAATGAATTCAAAACATCAAAAAATTCACTGTGACGAATTGAGAAATTAATAGAATTCAAGTAATGATTTTATAATTCCCAATATTTTATCATTTTATTTTATAAGCACTTAGACCAACAAGTACATTTTTAAAAGATTTTTATTATATATTTTACCTATAATGAATATACTATGGAATATGTGCCACCTCAACTTTGTTTATTTATTTTCTATCTTTAATATTTTGTAAGCTTTATATATATTAAACAATATTAAAATTTATAACTCAATAAAAAGAAATATATATGATTATTATGTTAATTACATATATTAGACATTAATAAATTTTTAAAATATTTGTAACGTCTTTATTTTATATTCCTTTATGAGCTAATGGCCTATATTTGTCTCAAATGATATTTAAAAGGGTAAATTTCTAAAATTTGTTGCAAAATTGATTTTTTTTTTCCCTCAGTTCCTAAAATGATTTCTTAAATTCGAAATATTTATTATTCTCTATTTTAATATTATGTGTTAAATTTTTAATTATCCAGCAATAGCTTTGATAAATTAATGATGCTTATCAATTTTTATATTATGTAACCTAGGCTTAACATATGATCAGTAAAAACTAAAAAATGATATTTTAAACATTTATCCTCCTCACCTTTTTATTTGTAAAGAAGAATATTATATCAGTATAATCTAAAGACAGTGCTATGTCATTTTGATTTTAATTAAAAATAGGTTTGTGAGATGGTCTTGTGCCATGTAGTATCTTAAGTAAGCATTAAATAGTTTGAGATTTGAAGAGCTGGTTATAATGGCTATTTCAAATATTTGGTTTTAAAATATAAGGCCTGGCCCAAATATTATTTTTTAAAAACAATATTCAGGCCTGTTCCAGGTATATTTAAAAAATTAAAATATGACATAGTCCATGTAACCAGGCCTGCAGGTCTCTGATATTTACACTAATAGACTAAATTAAGCCCTGCCAAACATATATGTTTTTAGGAGTATTCTAACTACTCCAATTACAGTGGCATCAACTGTGGCTATAAAATCAAAAATAAATATAATATATTCTTAAATAGTTGCGCCTCAAATTTTTTTTTAAATAAGCCAGGCCAGGCCTGAAAATATAAAACTTGGGCCAGCTAAAAAAAATCCAAGCCTCTGAATGCAATATTTTTAAAGAACTTTTTATGTTTGTTTACACGATTAAAATTTTTATTTCAATCATTAGTATATTAATATTAGAGATCTGCAAAGTTAGGCCCGAACGGGCTTTGAACTGGGCTCGGGCCTAATTCTATTTAAAATAATCGGGTTTGGGCCATGCCGGGTCTAATATTTTTAAAAAAAATTTGGGCAGGGTCAGGTCGGACTTTGGAAATTTTTTTAAATATATCTAAATTTATCAATTTAATATTGAATTTTTTATGTAAATAATAAAATTTGATTTTATTTATTGAAACTAAACAACATATAATATATGTCTTTTATTTTGAGTAATTATAAAGATTAATTTCTATATTTAAATAAATTTGAACCTGGCTGGGTCGGTAAATTTTTTTTAAAAATATTTAGGGTTCGGGCCGGGCTGGCAAAACTTTTAAAAAATTTTGTGTTCAAGCCGGGCTTGAAAAATTAGGCCCGATGCAGATCACTAATTAATATTGCTTTCTAACAAATCTTGATCTGTTAATAAAATATATTATTTATTACATTATTCGTTTAGTTTTGTTTAAAGAGCATACCAATGCAGGGATATAGAATAAATATAACCTAAATAATATTTAATGCTGTTTCTGTTTAATCTAGGCTAAACAGTTTTTAAACTAGGACACTGGCATTGTTATTTTTTGTTTTTTTTTCCTTTTACTTTTTAGTCAAATAGATGTTTAGTAATAAGTAACCAGGACATGGCTTAACTTCTGAAAAAAAATTTTGATTGAATTAAACATTAAAAATTTAATAATATTAATGTGCTCATTATTGACTATCCATTAGAGCATGGCTGAAACAGTTTGGATCCAAATATTTTAAAAGGACTGATGGTAGGTTTAATTTAGGGGGGATTTTTAATATTTTGTTGATAATATGTTTTCATAGTAGTTTATAATTTAATTATTAAACTTACTATAATATAAATAGATTGCTAAATATCGACCAACATATACATAGTCATTATTTTTCAAATAAAGCTTATTTGTGTATAATTTCCTGCAATGTAATTTAAAAGAGTTTGACAATCTATTAATTAACTAACTAATATTTGTGCTAAACAATATACTGTAATATTGCATTCATAAATGAATGTTTTTTTAAATTAAATTCATGTTCTAGAAAATAACTATTACATTCACGATTTTTTGATAGTTGTATGGAGTATTGATAATATAAGTTATTCTTTTTAAAAATATATGAAGGGTAACCATTATAATTAAGGAAAATATTTTAGGAAGGGATAGGTATGTTTGGGGTGGTTGTTTCCAATAAATATACTATCATATAGACGCTTTGATATTGATTAATTCTTGCATTTCAGATGTGGCATAATTATCCATTTTTAAGAATTAATAAATTCAGCTAGAGCACTTGAATCATATTTACTTCCTATTCCCATGTTTCAAACTAGAGCCTGTGAAATAAAATGTTATATGACAGGTTCTAACGACTCAGTTTTTTCTTAGTGTCTGAAATATATATTAAGTGAAACATCTTAATTAAATAACTCAATTTTGATGAGGGTAATTCAAAGTACCAGCCCATAAAGTTTTTATATTAAATAATGGTGTAAGCATTTTTTTTTATCTTAAAGAAAATCTAATCATAAATATTCAAAAAGTGCCTCCTAATTAATAAAATATAGTTATAATTTTTATAAATCTTTTATATTTTTATCATATAATAAACTAATGCAATTTTACCTTATAAAATTAATTTATTTCAACTATATCTTTAATCTGGGTGACAAATTTGACCATTTTTTCCTTTAACTATTTCAGATGTTATGATTAATATCTTTAAAAATATTACAATTTGCATTCAAGAAACAAAGTTTGGCAGCCTCTAAAATCTTCAAACTTTAGACGCTCAGGCCGGTTGCCTTGCTTGCCCATACTGACACACGGGCCTGTATATTTACCCTTTAAATATTCCATTTTTTATCTCATTTTTTGTTTTTAAACTTATAAACAGTAAATTGAAAACAATAAGTCACAAAATAAAAATTTGTTTCATAGATGTTTTAAGAGTAGAAGACATACTTATGGTAATTTGGAGTAATCTCGCTATTTTTTATCTTCCTAATAAACAACTGATATCACCACAGATATGCAGGCACTCCCATGCGACAATAACAATACCCCCTTCATTTTAATGACAATCTCATCACACCCCCTCCTTTCGAAAGGAAATCACTAAAAATCCACTAGTTCTCATTTGCTACCGTGGGCCTGTAAAATTAGCTGGCTTATTTTTAAGTTTAATCATTTACCCTAAGAAAGAAAGAAAGGGTTATGCTCTGTAAATGGCAGTTTAGTTACTTTTTTTAAGAAAAATGAAAAAGTTTCATTGAGAATAAAGTAAGTATTCTGTGGTTTACCAGGGGTCTTATATTGAATAGGAGACTACCACAATTTAAGAAATATATACCACATTGATCAAATTTCCATAAAATGTACCGTAATTTTACATTTCCACAAATATATCACTTCTCGAATTTTTATTCAAAAATAAATATTGATAGAAATAAAAACATAAACAAGAAAATGTCTAATATATGTTACTATAGAAAATATGACTCATTATTTTTTAGATTAGTAAGTTCGGTATAACTGTTTATAAATTTTATTAAATGGCTTCTTAAATTTAAACTAAGCATTCCGACGCAATCAACAATTTTAGTCGTGTTGACATTCGGATTATTTATTATGTAACTTACTCTAAACAGTCTAAAAAAAAAGAGGATATTATGTTTTTCCTCATCCTTGTTTTATTTCTTATGAAAGAAATATATTAATAAAAAATATTTATTTAATGCACAAACTGAAACAAGTGCGTATCCAGAAATTTTCTACAAAAGGAGTGAGTGGGGGGGGGGGGGGAAGGGCTATTTTTATGTATGTTAATTTTTTTGGAGCATTAAAAATTTATAAGAACAGTATAACCATTCATTTTCGAAATGGCAAATCTGAACACAATTGCCGTTGTCCGCTTAGAAATTATTTTTCTTCACACAGAAAGTTCGGTTAGAATAAATTTTATTAAATTCAAAATAAAAAAACAATAATAGTAATATTCTGCTGAAAACGGCCTATTTATGTTATAAATCGACAAAACAAAAATATATATCCAATAATAAAAATAAACATCCAACATGACATTTCCCTCCCCTCTTATAAACCACCGAACTGCCCCTGCTGGTGACCACTCCCGGCCATACGTTTCACCATAGTAGTCTTTTTCTTTTGTTCCGCAATATTTTCACATCCTTTTTCTTATTTCGTCTTCTATAAGTCAACGGGTAATTCAAAAAAATATGAACTGTATCTTAAAAACCCTATCATTATCTTAAAAAATTTAATAATTATATTATATTCCTCATTTATAAAAAAAACTCAAAATAATCAAAGGCACCCAAAAAAATTAATTAAAAAACATTTTTTTCAAAAATACTTTTTACCAATAATAATACTTTTCATATACCTTTGGTTTATCAAAACTTAATTATAAAACAACTACTCCAGTTCCCTTTCTAATCTCAACACTCCTCTATCATAAATTACATTTTTTCTCAATTACAAAATAAAAATGTCATAAAAAAAACTTTAATACAAATATAATATAAAATATATTCCAATTCTTATTCTCTTACTGCATTTATTCTTATTCAACTTTAACAAAAAACAGATATAAATTCTTTAACGCTTTATTTATA